GGGGAAACAGTGACAGACTTTGTTTCTTTGGGTTCCAAAATCACTGCAGATGGTGACTGCAGCCATGAAATTAAAAGATGCTTGCTCCTTGGAAGAAAAGTTATGACCAACCTAGGTTATGCAACCTAGGAAGCATATTAAAAAGCAGAGACATTACTTTGCCAACAAAGGTCTGTCTAGTCAAAGCTATGGTTTTCCAGTAGTCACATATGGATGTGAGAGTTGGACTTTATAGCAAGCTGAGCACTGAAGAATTGATGTTTTTGAACTGTGGTGTTGGAGAAGAGTCTTGAGAGTCCCTTGGACTGCAAGGAGATCCAACCAGTCCATCCTAAAGGAGATGAGTCCTGGGTGTTCATTGGAAGGACTGATGCTGAAGCTAAAGCTCCAATACTTTGGCCACCTGATATGAAGAACTGACTCATTGGAAAAGAACCTGATGCTGGGCAAGATTGAAGGCAGGAGCAAAAGGGGACAACAGAGGATGAGATGGTTGGATAGCATCACCGACTCAGTGGACATGAATTTGAATAAGCTCCGGGAGTTGGGGATAGACTGGGAAGCCTAGCATGCTGCAGTCCATGGGGTTGCAAAGAGTTAGACACGACTGAGTGACTGAACTGAACTGAGTTTTTGCTAGTATAAAAAATGCTTCCAAGAACATTTTTTAGGTGTAAATTGACACACATATACCTAAATATCTTTAAGAAAAATACTTAGGAAAAAGAGTCGGACACAACTGAGCAACTGAACTGAAAAAAACAAAAACAAAACTGAATGAGGTACTCACAGCTTTAATGGTTTAAAATATTACTAAACATTTTCCCAAAGATGTTGCACTAATTTACATACCCACCAGTATAATTTGTGTTCCTGTTGCTACATACACATATCCACCAATATTTGGCTGTTTGTTTTTTTTCTGCCAGTCTTGTGGGTGTTTGGTGGTATCTCATTGTGATTTTAATTCCCATTTTCCTGATTATTTATGAGGCTGAACACTTTTCTGATTATCAGTCATTTGGATATATTTTTGGTAAAGCCCCTGTTTAAGCTCACTGTTCTTATTCTCTGACATTTTTGCATTATATATACATATATATATATAATATTTGTACATATATGGACATCACAGGAGGCACTAGTGGTTAAGAACCCACCTGCCAATGCAGGGGACATAAAAGACATGGATTTGATCCCTGGGTCAGGAAGATCCTCTGGAGGAGGCTATGGCCACTTACTCCAGTATTCTAACCTGAAGGATCCCATGGACAGATAAGCCTGGCAGACTACACTCCATAGGGTTGCAGAGTCAGACACAATTGAAACGACTTAGCACACATATGCATATATATAATACACAATATATACACATACAATGTATATAACAGGGCTTCCCAGGTGGCTCACTGCTAAAGAATCTGCCTGCCAACCAGGAGACACAGGTTTGGTCCCTGGGTTAGGAAGCTCCCCTGGGGAAGGAAATGGCAGCTGACTCCAGGAATCTTGCCTGGGAAAGATTCCAGTCCAGGAGCTTTCAGAGTCAGACACAACTTAGTGACTAAATAACAACAAATATATATATATATATAATATATATATATAATTTTTTCTCTGTGGTTATATTTTTGTTCTATGTCTTCGTCATAGCCTGAACTCTGTAATTCTGAAAGTCCATTTCCTAGAATCCTTCCTGGGTGGTTCCTAATTAGCATGGGACAAAAGAATTGTAAGACTAGGAAAGTATTAATAGAAGTGAATGAGCCTTTGTTCTCTGAAGGCCATTAGATGTGCTGATTGATACACACAGGGGTGCAACAGGTTCTAGCTTGCACCTGTTCCCCACCCCATACCCAGCTTGTTCTTCAACTGCCAACTCTGTGACTGTAAGTCGCTTCAGGCCCATCATCATGGCGGAGTTGTATACCAGGCATACCTTCTCTGTTAAAAAGCAGAAACATTGCTTTGCTAACAAAGGTCCATAAAATGGAAGCTATGGTTTTTCCAGTAGTCATGTATGAATGTGAGAGTTGGACCATGAAGAAGGCTAAACACCGAAGAATTGATGCTTTCAAACTGTGGAGTTGGAGAAGTTCTTGAAAGTCCCTTGGACAGCAAGGAAATCAAACCAGTCATTCCTAAAGGAAATCAACCCTGAAAATTCATTGGAAGGACTGATGCTGAAGCTGAGCTCCAATACTCTAGCCACTGATGCAAAGATTTGACTCATTGGAAGGGATCCTGATGCCGGGAAAGATTGAAGAAGAAGGGGACAACAGAAGGTGATATGGTTGGATGGCATCACCGACTCAATGGACATGAGTTTGAGCAAAATCTGGGAGATGGTGAAGGACAGGGAAGCCTGGCATACTGCAGTCCATGGGGGTGCAAAGAGTTGGACACGACTGAGCAACTGAACAATATACCTTTTTGTAGATCTAAGAGCATTCTCTTCAGAGCTACACTTCAGCAGCCGGTCATACTTGGCTTCCTAGGTTTACTGGTTAGTGACACCTTCCCTGATTTGCCAACTTCTGTCCTAGACTGTCACCTTCCAGCTTCTCCTGTAATTGTATTTTAATTATTATATAGAGTATCTTATCTCACAACTCATAGTTCTGCTTCCCTCATTTAACATCATAAATGTAGTTATTGGTATCAAAAGGCTCCAGAGTAACTGAATCTTGAGTACAGTAATCTACCATCTTTATCTTCAATTTGATTAGATTAAAATGATTGATGCTGTCATAAAGAGGATGCTGGTATTCCATGGACTGCAGTGGTAAAACTGTGTTAGATCATCACATGAAATCACCTGTGGAGCGAGTGACTCAGTAGCTACTGCCATATTTTGCTGAAAACTTGTTATATCGAGGGATTGATTGGTTACATCAAAGTGTACTGAAGAATCTGAAGAAAGAAAATGATGATCTCAGGGCATTAAATTCCTATCTCAAAATCTGGGTAAAGGACAAGAAAACTAAATCTATCTTAAATGACCTTCCCAGGTAGCACTTGTGGTAAGGAACCTGCCTGCCAATGCAGGGGATGTAAGAGACTTGGATTCGATCCCTGGGTTGGGAAGAGCCCCTGGAGGAGGGCATGGCAACCCACTCCAATATTCTTGCCTGGAGAAACCCATGAGCAGAGGAGCCTGGCGGGCTACGATCCATAGAGTCGCAAAGAGTCGGACACAACTGAAGCAACTTAGCACACACATCTTAAATGAAAACCTTGTCTCCTATAGCCACAGGGACTTTTCTGGAAGTCTCCCCATAATGACATTTGTCCTTCAGAAGCAATTTTGATTTTGAGCATTTTTTACTTCTGTGAGGCTTACATAGCCTCAGCCTCCTCCAGTTTTTTTTTACACATGTCCCTTGGTACCACCCATCCACATATTGAAGCTTAAGGGAGTGTTCTCCCTGTTTTAACCACTATTCTCAGACCTATTTGCAGAAGATCCCAATTAGATCGAGGCTTTCTTTATGTTTATTGGCAATTTATTTTCTGGGGGTTTTAGGATGTACAGAATTTTTTTTTTTTTTTTTACTCTGATACCTACTCATATTTGCTAAACCTGTCAAAAGTCTTGCCAAAATACAATAGTTGCATGCAGTTTGGTTCCATCCACTAGTATTTTGTAGCTCATGAGAATGTCTGTCACTTCATTTTGTTGAAAAATGCTGTCATTGGATTTTTCTTTAACTATTTTTTTTAATGAAAAAGGATCTGGTTACATTTTAGAAAGTATGTTATCAAAATTATCTCACCCAAGCCACAAGTCCAATCTTTATTACTGTGCTGCCATCTTGCACATTGCCAATACTTTCTCTCACTGCATTGCCTGTCTCTTCACGCTCTTCAGGGAATCTTTCGATTGACAGAATTCTGTCACATGGTTATTAAGCTTATCAAATATTTCCTTCATGTTTAATTCTGTTAAGAAGTCCACTGTTGTTCCAAGACCTTAAAGATACTCCCCATATATCATCTTCTAAAAGATTTATAGACATCTGTAATTTAGCCATCATACAACAGCTGGTATCAGAATAAGTTTCCTGACATCAATAACTATTAACATTGGATTTTAAAAATATGAAGCAACTCTTTTCAGTGTTAGGACAATGGACATACAAGGTGGCATTGCTTGAGAGCAGTGCAGGACATGCTTTCTTCCTGCAGACATTTTCAAAATATGGGCTATGGGAAGTGCAACCCAGACAGCAATTTTTTTATTGGGTTAAATTTCCAGGACTAGGGAAGGCACATGGAAGTTTGAAACAGTTAGATGATTCTTCTTTTTCTAAGAAATTAAATGCCCAGCTTGAAAAGTGATGCCTATCTTTAAAATAATCATGCTTGCTGGTCGAAATTTTAAGCTAATCAATCCTATGTGCTGTGTGGAAGTGTGAACATAGCATAATTTTCATAATCATTTTAAGGGGAGGGGGTAGTTATAACTAGTACTTAATTTCCTCTCAAGCCTCAGGCTTGTGATTTTATGCTCACCAGACTACAAAAGAAAAGCAAGGCAGAAAATCGAGCTTTTTTTTCACTTAAAATAATTTTAACACAAATGTTCTTTTTTAATCATTTTAAAATTAATATACACTTCAAAATCAATTTTTAAAATGGTAAATATCAGATATAATCTGCTCAAACAAAAAATCTTTTATGTTCTCAATAATTTTCATGTGAGGAGGTCCTGAGACCAAAAAGTTTGAGAGCTGCTATTCTATACCAGTAATATTCAGTTAGAAAGCATTTTTTTTTTAAGATGGGAAAAAGCAGCTCATTTGTAACTACCACAGAAACATTAAACCATTATAAGACACCTAGAATTAAAGTCAAGAAATAATTTTAAAACTCTTATGACAGACATGAATTTAATAAAAGGATACACAATACTGGTTTTGGACAGGAAGATGCATCATTGTAAAGGCATCATGATTTTTCTATACGCCAATCTATGCAAGCCAATGTAATTACAATAAAAATGCTAGTAGGAATTTTATTTAAAAAGAGACTGAATAACTTAGTTTATCTATAAGAGAGTACAGAAAACTCTGGAAAAAAATGAGTATTTAAGGGAATCTGTGTTGGGGAGTAACATGACATATTAGATACTGTGAAAATGTATATTAGTTATAAAACAAACATTTTAAATCAATGTTAAAACAATAGTCATTAAATTAGTAATGGTAGTTGAATAGACAAAGACATTAAGTGGAACTAGAGTATTCATAAATATCAAATATAAAAATTTATTATCTAGTGGAGATTACATTTTAGATCAGTAAGGAAAAAGAAAATATTTTCTAGACAATTAGATAATGGCAAAAATTTGTAAATTTTTACCTCATAATATAATTTCCAACTGCATTAAAGACTGACATAGAAAACAAAATCATAAAAATATCAGAACATGGGTATTTTTATAATCTTGAACAAGGAAAATTCTTTCTAAACATGATATCCAAGGCAAAAATTGTAAAGTAGGTCAATAGATTTGATTACATAAAAATAAAGTTGTAAAATGGTAACATATAAGCAAACTGAAAATAAATGACAGAATGAAAAAAATTGCAGTGTATAATAGAGAATGATTCCTAAAATGAGATACTGCAAATTTATAGACATGAACATCCAAAAGAAAAAGCGCAAAGGTCATAAGCAAGTACAAACAGCCATTAACATATTGAAATATATTCACTCTCATTAAAAATTTTAAAAATACATTTTTGGCTGTCTCTGAAAAATATTAAAAACTGATAAAAGTCTATGCTGTTGATCCTGTAAAGAAATAAATTCTCACGCACTAGTGGCAGCAGCGTAGAGGAATGGCTTGGTGAAGGACAGTTTGACAATTTAGCTCAAAATTTTGTCTGTATACTCCATAACTCAGAAGTTACACATCTCCAAATTTAGTGGAAACACAGAAAGCGTTAAAGTAATACACACAAAGATGTTAAGTAGCAGCCTACATCGTATGTCCATGAATAAATATTGTACATCCTCCTTATAATCAAATACTGCAGAGCAGTAAGAGACAGTTTCTGGAAACTATGTCTACACCTATTATGTTTTAAAATTTTTATGAAAGTCATTTAGGTACACTTGTATGTGTGTATGTATATGTGCACATGCATAGCAAGAAGTCCAAGGGAGTCAACACAAAAGTCTTAAGCTCTTGTAAGCATAAGTGTCTAACTCTGGGTAGACATGTGAATTTTGGTGGATTATTACTCTTGTCTAAGCTTGATAAATATACTACCTGGCAGATACTGTGGCATACGGCACACAAGCGAAACATGTGAGTGAATGGGTATGAATTCATACATCCTTCCACTACTGATTTAAACAAAATAATGCATTAAGTGGCATCATTAAAAGGTCTCATCTGGTTAAAAAAAGAGAGAGCAACAAGATTTCAATCAGAACTAGTGCATTTACTCTCGAGTTCCCAGAGCTAGTCTGTAGATACATTTCTGAATATCCAGGGTTTCAGTAATTAACACGCTTGGATAAGAAGGAAATCTTTGAGAGGAAATGAGTGTGTAGGTTGTATTCCTATTGTCTCTCAGTTCCAGGTCCACCCTTCTACCCTCTGGCCTGTGATGCTGGGGTTGGACTTTGTAATGCATTTCGCAGATCTCTGTTGCACTTCATTTAGGTTCTGCACTTCATTAGAAAAGTTGGAAGGCAGAAAGAGGACAAGATCTACCTCTGTCTTTGCTTGCCAATCCTACTAGTGACCTAATAATTTCAACTGATTCGTCTTCATTCAGCTCCTTACAGAGAGCACTTAGGTGTTGAACCTTCTCAGGGGTTTGAGCAACAACTCCATGGAGACCAGTTTTCTGGAACTCCAAGGTTCTGGGAAGCCCCCTTTCCACCTTTTGTTTTCCTACTCCGAGGCACAGTAGTTGCATCCTGCAGTTAGTTTCTCTTACCTCTAGTGCCTCCAGCACATCACCCCTGTTGAAATACCTCGCGTGGGCTCTTTTAACTGAATATATCCCAGCAGAGGTGCTCTCTGAAGAGCAGATGTAGTACTGGTTCATGGCAGGATCAAGATAGAGACATAAATGCTTAAGGCCAGCTTGCTCAGGTTGGCATTTACAGGTTGTTTTAATGTTCCAAGTGTGTTAACAGAGGAAGATGTCCGTAGCAGCAAGACTTTGAGGTACTTCTATCCGATGAAACTTCCTGCAATAATAGAAATGTTCTAAAATGTGTTGTTCAATAGATAGCCAACGTGACTGTTGAGAATTTGAAACATGGCTAGGATAACTAATTTTACTTTTATTTGGCTTAAACAGCTACAGGTGGCTAGTGGCTATCATGCTAGACCAGGCAGGTCTGAGGGGACTGGAGGACCAGACAACCTGCAAGACTGCACCTTTGTTAATTTGTCAGGTATTTTAACAGATACTAGGGTTACAAAAAACAGGAGATACTATATTTCCTTCTAAAGGAGGCGAGGCCAGCAAAGGAAGATGGATATGCAAAACCACTTTGAAAGATGATTCTGCCAACAGTATGTAAGATGGACCAAAGGCACAAGGTCAAAGATAGGCCACTCAAAGCAAATGCAATTGTCAAATTAGATGAGAAATCTCATTGACAGTAGTAAGCGGTGTAAGTGCACGTGAAAATCTGACCTGTCGACGCCTGGTAATCAAGGGGAAATAATAGTAGAGTTGAGAATAATTCCCTATTTCTGAATCAGTGTATCACTTGAAGAGAAAACAAGAGAACCAGGTTTGGGAAGAAGTGGTGAATTCAGTTTTGGAGGTGTGGAATTTAAAGTGCTTGTGAAACATCGAAGTCTCTGTGCTGAACAGATGCATGAACACACACGTGGATCTAAAATGTACAAAGGAAAAAAAAAAGGAAAAAAAAAACGTACAAAGGAGGTTCAGTTAGGAACACGAACTTGTGAATCAGAAGCATGTAGGCAGTACAAGACGACAAACTAGCTGATATGACTGTCCAGGAAGCGTGAAGAGTTAGAAGTGGGCCAAGAACAGAAATCTTGACAACATTTGAGTAGAAAGAAAACAAAAGAATGAGAATAATGCAAAGAAGCCTGTCTCAGGAAGGCAGAGCTTCTGAAAATTACTAGCCAAAGCCAACAATGACAAACTATAAAATGGCTGACAATAAACTGAACACTCACACTGTGACATATTCTCAGAGTTTTTGTTTAATACAGAAACCCATTTCATCTTTTAAAGGAGGCATATAAGGCAGGTTTTACTGTGAGAGGAGTTACAGAGCTCACTCGAGACCAACACAGTAATCCAGACCCAGGCAGCCTGGCTCTGGAGCCGGCACGCTCAGCCACTGAGGAGAGCGCGTCCACGAGTGAAGGGCTGAGAAACACTGGGAGCAGCTTCGGTGGAGCACAGGCCAAACTGGGCATGCTGCATGGCTGAGGGGGTCATCCGAAAACTTAAACTCCCTGCCTTCTCACGTGACTCACAACAATGCAGAAGGCAAGTCTCCCTGCCCCACTTTAGCCAGGCTCAGCCAGCCTCTGAGGGGGAGGCCACAGGTGACCCTTAGAAAAATTAAAGTTGGAGAAGCATCTACTCAATGTTCTCAAACATCTGTCACTGTAAAAGGCTTTTAAGAATCCACATGATAAGAGAGGACCTAGACACCTTTTGGAAAGAAAGTTCCTCATATGCTTTTGATCCACAACTAGGGTTAAGGATACATAACTGGCTCCAGATTATTGAAAAAGAACCATTTGTTAAAGGACAAATATTGTACAGGCTTTGGGATAATACAAAGCAAAAAAAGTAAGTTTTCTAATTCTGTCAAAGAGCAAATATGTCCATGTAACAGAAGTCCTTTTAATTAAATTTATAAATCATTCTATACATTTTACTTATACTTTCCTTGTAACATTGGGTTATCAATAATGTCTATTCCTTATCACAACCTGGTTAACAATTAACTGTAAATTTACAAGTGTGGGGGTGAAAAACTGGAAGGGGTCATACCCAAGCTCCCTAACTTTCTTGGTAAATTAAGATCCTATTTTACTGGAGCTGCATCGAATGGGAGGTTCAAGGATAGCAGTGAAGGTGTGAGAAGAACTGCGCATGGAAAAACAGGGAATCTGAAATTCTGGTGTGTGTCTGTGCACATCCAACTGTGTACATAGTTCCCGCCGTCGTGACTCTTAATTTTATCTGCACACCGATGTAAAATCTAGAAAAGTAATTACTCAAAGTCGTCCCTACTCACTCTTCCCAAGTATCCTGTGGGATATTACTTTTGGAGGATGACAACAGGACTGAGGTCAAAGACGAACAATTCTGAATCATAAAGACACTGAACTTCTAGAGGATTAGACACAGGAGGACAGAATCCACCTTAGTCTTAGTAAATCTAAAACTAAGGAAAAGAATTTTTAGTTACTTCCTTGAAGTCAGTGAGAGAAATGATGACGTTTCCAATAAACCAGGGTTCAAAAAGATGCTAGGGATTACTTAGTACGGCGGTTCTCAAACTTCAGCAGATGGCAGAATCTTCTGAAGGACTTGTTGAAACTTGTTAACTCTTCAAGCTTAACATGTGTTAAATCACTAGTTCTGATGGGCTCAAGAATTTTCAATTTTAACGTGTCCCCAGATGATGCTGAATCTGCTGGTCTGGAGACATTTTGAGAAGTAGTTATTTAGTGTAGTTAGTGTATTGTATTTTAACGAATCTGAAAAGAATTACGGGCTTTCAGGCTCAATGATGGCTGTAGTCTCCTTATCACAACCTTAATAAGTTCCTCCAAGTCTTAACTTCCATTTGAATTCTACCTTAAATTTTTACAAAATGTAATTTTTGGGGAGTGGGAAAGGAGTACTACAGTAATCAAAATGAGAGTCATTAAGTGAAAGTGAAATCTGCCACGGACAATAGTTCTATGAGGTTTTGAGTTTTAAATTACTAGCCCTAAGTTATATTTAATCCAGTATATAATGTAAGAAAACTTCACTGACCTAAACCATTAGATTAAAAGCTGATATAAAAACGAGTTGCTTCCTCAGGTCTTAAAAAATGTCACTTTTTAAAAGAAGAACTTCAGATTCATAATTAGGAATGAATAAACTGGCTTTAACTACAGAGTAAATATAATACTTACCTGGATGTGCCTCATAAAAGAAGTAATTTCCTATGGTGTTTAGCAGATTGTGTCTCAGTAGTCAGTTATACACAAACAACTTTACTGTTATGGTAGAGTATCATAAAATGCTGAAGATACTTTATAAATGCTTTGATGATACACATGAAGTTTCTAAACTTTCAACAGGGCTTGAAAATCGATGTAGAATACTAATTCTGCTAAGTAGAGAATTTAAGATCTAAACCAAAACACATTCTGATGGCTATAATATACAAAATCTAACTTTACAAAGAAACAGCAATTTATCATTAATACCTTAGCAGTACATTGACACCTTTATAAGGAGTATTATATAATAGCTTAATATTTTCTTGTTCTTCCTCCATCCAGATCTTTTATGAGAGGCACTTATAAAAAGCACTAGTTTTGGCGACGCTGTAACAAACATACACATGGTATAATGATATATTTTACTACGCTGACAAAGTATCATTTATAAAGAAATTTTTATAAATTCAAAAATAGGTTGTTGGTAGCATGATTACCTTTAAAGCACTGGATTTCATTCACAATATTACTTCATTAATCTTAAATAGCAGTTCCCCCTATAAAATGTTCTACAATTTTTTTCCTTTTTGAAAAGGGAGTAAATAAATGCAGGGAAGATACTCATATAATTTCTAGTTCAACAATATCAACTTCCATTTCACAGCATTGATTAGTAGAGAACATTTTCATTTAAAGTAGTATACAATTTACAAAAATAGAATGATTATATAATGCAAACACCGTCCTCCATTATGAAGAATGTTTGTGTGTATGTGTGTATGTATATATATATATATTTAATATATACATATACATAGTTCTTATAAGTTTCACTATTAAATAGCCCTTATTCAAGTACTTTTTTCTGGTATCTCTTCAAATAATCACCTTGCTATATTATATGTAAATACATAAAAAAAATTAAAGGTTAATCTAAGAAAAGGTTAAAAGTTTCAGTGTGGTTGACTCAAATATCAGCCGCTCACTACAGTTAAAACCTGATTTGAATTCAAAACAGGTTTAGGTGCCATACTAAGTAAAACAACTTAGTCAAAAATATAGATATAATATTTAAGTATCAAATACTCAGTAAATTTCTACTGTGCTAACATTAGAGCAAAATTAAAAGTCTGTATTAATCTGTTAATCACCCATAAACAATCCCCAGGAAAAGATTCATTTATATAACTAAAAAAATACACTAATATATAATATACCTGCTTACAAACACATAGGTAGCCATAAATAAAACTTTATTCTTTAATTTCATTTACAAGCTACCAAATATTATGTATTGTACACAGTGCTGAACACTTAAATGGCTATAGTCACGGAGGATCCAGACTGAATGGAAAGCTGTAGATCAAGAAAAGATATAAGCAAAGTAATACTGTAACAGAAGAGTGGCAAAAGCATGGTTTTGCCATAATAAAATCAATCGGATTGGTAGTTGTATATCAGTTCTGGTTAAAACACAGTCTGAGCGCCATGCGATTCTCAGCTTTATTGTTTGCAGTCTGGCTAAAGTCTGTAGAGTCAATTTGTCTTTTGCAGTTATTAAAATAAAAGTTAAAAATTATAGCAGCAACAAGCAAACCCTGTGACAGGAAGGCAAAGGCTAAGAACTAAACACGTTTACACAGTGTGTTCAGGGGAGTATGTGCAGCTTATCTCCCATCAGCAGGAGTCCGACTGAGGGACAGCATGGTGCGGGCAAATCGCTCACAGAGTTCATGTGTGGAGTACGGAGGTAACTTCGGCGGCTCATGGAAACCTTTAATCTCCGTAGAACAATCGAGCAGCTTTGGCAGAAAATCTGTCAGCTTCTCTTGGAGGTTTGCTGCAAATACAAACAATCAGATATAACTAAAAGCTGACAGGGAGAAAAATCATTTTCAACAAGATTTGCTAATTTAGAGTAGGCAGCTGACACTTCGTTTCGAAGCATGGAAGCCACTGTCACGTAGGAAGGAGAGGTAAAAGATGAGCGGCAAGGGCAGCAGGCACAGCTTAGTTTGTAAGCGAGAAACAAGGTCACGAATGTAGCAGTGCCGCAGGATAGAAAACGGTGAGAACTAACATCTAATTCTGACAGCTTTTAATCCCAACAACTCAGGAAGCCACCAGCATTGCTTCAACTTACATTCCATTTCTTGTCCAAGATACGAACACCATCGATTTCTCATATCTTCCACAGCAAGTATGTCTTTCTCTTCCATTTCATCCACCAATAACAGGGGCAAAAATGGGACAATAAATTCATTCATGATAATCAGACCATTGTTTACGTCTCTATCCTCTCCAGATTCAAACAGTTCTGCAGCTTGCTCATTTAATTTCTTAATGCAATGAGAGAGAAAGAGAGAGAGAGAAAAAAAAAAACAGGTTTGTTTCCTTTTTCAATTAAATAAAAATATCCCAGAGTGTGAATAATGAAGGCAACATAATAAGCATGTTTGTAAACAGTAATAGAACAAATGGAAATCAGAAAAAGCAACCTCAGCTTATGGAGTGAGAAAAGTTTCCTATAAAAGGATATGCATGTTACAACAGAAACAAGAGCAAAAAAAAAAAAGTCAGAGAAATACTGTTGTCATGTTTTTAAGGTTTTATTTTACTTTGATCATCAATATAGGAATCATTTTTAAATTAATTCTCCAGAGGTGAATTACCCGAATTCTAAAATACGTTAAGCACTCAATGTAATTTTAAAAGCAAAGAGATTCAGGTTCCATATTAATTTTGAAAAACTCATCTTTTCCATAAATGTCAACTGAACAGGGACTGTTATATTTCTTGATACAAAAATATGGAGGTAATCAACTAAACCGTTCGTTTCTTCAAAAAATTCTTACTCAGTACATGCCATGTGCCAGAAACTGTTTTAGTTGCAGGGGTACCCAAATGATTAGTAAGAAAACTCTCACGGAGCTTACAATCTGTTACAATATAGGGATCAGTAAAATTTTCTCTGTAAAGGACAAAACAGGAACTGTTTTAGGCTCTGAGGGCTATATAGTCTTTTTTGCAATGACATTAATATTGTTGCATCAAGACAGTCATATGTAAATGAGCAGGCAGGGCTATGTTTCAGTAAAACTTCATTTATAAACACAAGTGGCAGGCTGGAGCAGAGGCCAAGCATGCTAACATCTAATTAAACAGAAGAAAGAAATCCATGAGATAAGAAATACAGACATGGGAGATAGAAAAAATATACAGGTATAATAAGACTTAAAACACTTTTGTAAATTGGAGAATAATTGCTTTAACAATGTTGTGTATGTGAATCAGCTATAAAAATACATATTCCCCTCCATCATGAGCCTCCCTCCCACCTGCCCATAAGACGTTTATGTCTGAAATCTCATGTTTACAGAATGAAGAGTATGCTTTTTAAATAATCTTTATATTTTAAGAAGAATTTAAATTACAAAAATCATATTATTTCTTAGGTTTATGACATTCTTGTCCAATTCAGCCACTAAGTAATTATCTAATAGTCAGCAAACAACTAATTTCCTGGCTTCAGCTTCTTTATATCAAAAATGGCATACTATAATGCTCCTCACATATTGGCTAAGAGGATTAAATGAGATAAGTCTTTAAGTATATAGTATAATTTTTACAATTTGCATTCAAAGACATTATTACTCTGAAATTTGATGTTATGTTTACTAAATCAAAACAGATCCTAGAAACAACTTAAGCATAGTATGTCCAAAGCCAGCCTTATTCATCCTCTTAAGAGTACCCAAAGCCAAAGACAGAACAGAACTAGTAAGTCATGAGGCTTTAATGCCTCTATTTCCTTCTTTCCACTCATCTAATAGTTACCAATCATTTCCCTTACCATTTATATAGCTTCTCTTTCATACTGTACCTCTTAGCTCAGACTCTTCCTCTTTTCCCTGTCTATCTTTTCTAGGGTTCTTTGTTTCAATCTTTACTCCATTCTAGTCCATATTCAAGTATACTACTGCCAGAATTATTTTCTAAAAACAAAACTGATCATGCCCAATTTATTCCAACTTTACAACCAACTCATGAGAATGGTGCATAAGCTTCTACACAGTTTGACATCAAAAAACACTGTTGGCTTCATCACTTCCACCTAAACTTGTTCCTCATAACTAAGCCACAATAGACTTATCTTCATTTTCTGTTGTACACTCTCCATGTCTCTTCCTATGATAATCCTTTGTCTAGAGTTTCTTGCCCCTTCTCTACAAGGCACAAAACGCCTATTTATCTATCAGGATACAGATCAGTGTTTATCTTATTTCTTATGCTTCTTCCAACAATTCCAAGCATACTATGTTGCATATTTCTCATAACAATACTTATTCTGAAATATAAAAATTACTTGTATACATCTCTCACCAGATTGAATTCTCTTAGGATATAATAATGGGTCTTATCTTTGCATCCCTCAGAATCTGATACTCAGTAAATGCTCAATTTAAAAAAAAAAACTAAAAAAGGAAAAAAAACCACCTAAAAGGAACACTAAAATTCTCCTGAAGCTTCATTTAAATTCCTGTGTGAAACAATACATGCAGCTGGCTTACTAACATAAAACGATAAACACTGCTTACCATAATGTAAACACTGTCTACATAATGGTAGACAGTATTTTAGTTGTGCTTATATTTAAAATAGGTTTACCAGAATATTTCAATATTCCAATACTGCAAAGTTTTACATTAAAAATTGCCTTGATTCATTCAATGCATGAATTATACACCTGAATACAATTCAGATCTTCCTTCTTGGGCATTGATTAAAAACTTTTTGAAACTGACCATTTTAAGAATGGGCTTCCCTGGTGGCTCAGAGGTAAAGAATCTGCCTGCCAATGCAGGAGATGCAGATTTGATCCCTGGGTCGGGAAGATCCCCTAGAGAAGGAAATGGCAACCCACTCAAGTGTTCTTGCCTGGAGAATTCCATGGACAGAGGAGCCTGGCAGGCTACAGTCCATGGGGTCACAAGAAAGTCAGACATGACTTAATGACTAAAGAACAACAAATTAAGAATATCATCCTTGATGGATACAAACCATCAATAATTAGTCTTAAAATATACTCAAATGCAATAAAATGAGCTAAGAGAAAAATAACAAAATCACAAGCTTCTACTGTTGCCATTCAAAAATTCTGAAGACATAATTCAGACTAAAATTAACATATACTATGCAGTTCTACTGAAAGAAAACATTTCAGCAGTATACCTACTGAAAGTCTTTTTAAAGTACATGTAAAAGCAAAAATAAACAAATGGGACCTAATGAAACTTAAAAGCTTTTGCACAACAAAGGAAACTATAAGCAAGGTGAAAACACAGCCCTCAGATTGGGAGAAAATAATAGCAAATGAAGCAACAGACAAAGGATTAATCTCAAAAATATACAAGCAACTCCTCCAGCTCAACTCCAGAAAAATAAATGACCCAATCAAAAAATGGGCCAAAGAACTCAACAGACATTTCTCCAAGGAAGACATACAGATGGCTAACAAACACATGAAAAGATGCTCAACATCACTCATTATCAGAGAAATGCAAATCAAAACCACAATGAGGTACCATTACACGCCAGTCANAGCCTCCAACTAAAATAAATGGAAAAAAAAAAAAAAGACAAGAAAAAAAAAAAAAAATTTAAAAAAAAAGTAAAAAAAAAAAAAAAAAAAAAAAAAAAAAAAAAATTAAAAAAAAAAAAAAAAAAAAAAAAAAAAAAGAAACATTAACAGAATATTCCAGCTATCCAGAAAGTAAATTGGTGGGTAAAAAGAACTGCTGAAAATATTTAAGTTCATAACAGCAATATTTCAGCACATACACAGTAAAAATACTTGAGGAAAAAATTTCAATGACTAGATGGAAAAAAACTTCATATTACAATGAATTATTTAACATTATGTACACCAAATATACTCTTTATAAAAACTCAGAAAAATCTATACTTTTTCTGGAATAATAATAATGATAATTTATCATACCATTCAGCACCTCTTCTGCATCAAAAAAGGGAATGGTAGAATGAGAAGAAATCTAGATATAAAAATTAATTATTCTGATCTCATTTTAAGAACACTTCTTATTTATCATCTGTAAAACTTAAGATTCTTAAAGAAGATGGGATAAAGAATTGAGTGTATTCTCCCACCTCAAGGAAGCAGACCCAGAAGACAGACATCATCATGACAATTACCCCATCAGAATTTATAGTCACTTACATGAGTCTGAAAAACTGCCCAGTGTAAAACAATATGATAAATACACATTATGTGCCTTCAACTTACTAGTAAACATTCTCTTCTATAATGTGATATCAATTCTTCATCATGTCCTCTGTATGGGCCTTTGGACAACAGTTCTTTGTTATTCTGATAAGCACAGATAAGGAATAGCAAGGAATCTATATAACTTAAAAAACAGAAGTACAGCATTAGTATTTTATTTTTGTAAAAGAAGAGCAACTACAATTACAAAACATTTTAAGTATACATTTAAATTTTATCCAAATCAACATGAAAATAAGACATCTGAAGATACATTGTATGCCTGAGAGTATCTCTGGAGCAACAGTCACATGTGAAGGTAGTAAATAGTTGTTTTAAAACTAAAACAAAGAAAAACCCAAAAACCAAAAAAAAATTGAGCTAGGAAGTTAGAAAAAACTGGGAGAAAAAGGCCAAACTGATTAATTCAGAGAGTTCCTTCTGTCTTCTTTGCTAATTCTTTCCATTTAGATTCAAAATTAACACTGACATGAAAGTCAACAGTCTACTTTTTTAGCAACACCATGACATTTTGTTTGAGGGGCTGATCAGGTTACCTTGCTTATCACAAACATTTGGTTAAAGCAATGACTATTTTTAGTCACTTTTTTTTCCCCTATGTGAGGGCACAGTTACAGTCATTGAGAAAAATTAACAGAGGGCAGAATATCCAAAGGAGCTGGGTAAAGTAGAAAGGGAAAAAATGCTTCCAAATCTGGGAAATCTACTGGGATACAGACAGACACTAACATAAAGGGAGACAGGATTAGGCCTTTGTTTAATATTGCTATAACTTTAGACCTTTTGAAGTTCAAACTAAGTTTTAAAAAGGGAATATGACATAAATATTTCAGTATTATATTTGTCTCTAAAATGAATATTCCTCCTCTAACATACTATAGGACAAATATACACAGTTGGATGTCTGTATGGGCTTCCCTGGTGGCCCAGTGGTAAAGAATCTGCCTGCATTAAGGAGACCCAGGTTTGATCCCTTGGTAAGGAAGATCCCTTGTAGAAGGGCACGGCAACCCACTCCAGCATTCTTGCCTGGGGAATCCCATGGACAGAGAAGCCTAGTGGGCTACAGTTCACGGTGTCACAAATGAGTCGGACTTGACATAGTGACTAAAACAACAACAATATATCTAAGATAACTGAAATATGAAAGATGTTTTAAGATACCGCCTATGAGCCAATTTTTCTACTCATAGCATATCTTACAAATTCTGAAAAATGCAACATCCTAAGAAGTGAAACACTGTACAGAAACAATGTTTTATAACACTTTAAGTGATACTGCCCATCATTGCTACTGTTTGTTAATTTCAGGTGCTCAGACACAAACAAGTCAACTATACAGTCAAAATGTTACATGTAGAATTATGGGGAAATAAATATACTCATTCATGACAAATCAAATTACACACCTGAAACTACTTCATTAAACATATATTCTTTTAAATATTTTTTGAAAACATCTTTTCCCAGGGATTTGGTTTTGCATAAATTTAGGGCATGAAATCTTATTTTGAAATGATATGGGTATAGTCTCAGCTAAAGCTTTTTTTGTTTAGAGACTGACAACAGTATTAAATGCTGTCTTGTGCCACTAAGTTGAATTAGTCTGCTGGCACATCTACCTTTCCTTTTACAGCCATCAAGTTCCCAGTTGAAAGGTCTCCCTGGAGTGACATCCATATCTGGCTTTCTAGAACTGAGTCATCTCTCTGAGAATAGCTCTGAAACCATGAACTTATTCCAATTTTCTAGTGAAGTACACAGAATGTTCCACATTTTATCAGCCTTTAAAGTGCTTCCCTTTCAAGTATATCAGAATAAAATTCAGCAGTCCAGTTACCAAAATCTTATTTAAGATAAATTAAGACCATGGAGCCTGGTAGATTCTCTTTAATTTTCATTTTTACTGCTGTAAAATTATGGCTCCTAAAAACATGATTTCATTTCACTACTCATAGAAGAAACAATAGCCCATTAATAAATATTTAATTTATGGCTTTCAAGTGCTATGTTTTCATTAAAAAAAAAGTTTGACAGAGCATTTTGCCAACATCTTATATACTGCTAGTTATGGTAACCACTACTTTTGTGGTATAATTAACATTTCTTTTTACAAAATTCCATAAATATTATTTGCCACAATCACTAATTTCCTAACTGATATTTTCAATTTAATAATAAACATTTGCTATGCTAAGAATATTCATTTTACCAACAAGAATATATTTAAGATTAAGTAAATTATGAAATTTAAACACAATTTATTTCAAGTCCTTTAATAAACACTAGCTCAGAAAAGCTAATGCAGAAGAGGTGCAGAGAGCAAGGGAAAAAGTTTCATCTTTTTAGTTCTTACTGAGATAATGAATACACTTTGTCCTTTTCTTATATCATTAAATAAGAACACAGAGGCCTTTATTTCAATTTTTCTCTCCCTAGTCAGCTGTGTGACCTTGGCAAAGTTACTGTATCACTTTGGAACCTAGTTTCTTTATCTGTTAAATGGAAAAGCCTTTTACATGCTTTATTCTACTGTAAGGGCATATTAATATTTTTCTTAGAAAACTTAATCCCTAAAATCCTAAAGCAAGTTAGAATATTCCTATTAAAGAAATAAAATGTTGACCAAAATATGATTTTATAAAAGAGCTATTGATCAAAATGTTTTCTACTTCAGCTGACCAAAGTGAATTATCTTAAAAATACACAATCACTAGTACTTTAATAATTTGTCTCCAAGTATTAATATTACTTTTTACTTTTCTACTTTTACGTATTAACTTTTAAGATTTTGATGGCATTGTGCTTGGTCCAATGAACAGAGTGGCACTGTTCGGTAGAACTTCCTGCAGTAATGGAAGTGGTGTCTGCGCTGGCCAGAACGGCAGCCAGTAGTCAGATGTGACTACTGAACGTCTGAAATTCGGCTAGTGTGACTGAGAAACTGAAAAGTTTTAAAATTTTAATTAGATTGTCCTACATGGCTTGTGAGCCACCATCTTGTACAGCATAGCTCCAGAAGTAATACTCCATGTTGGCATTTAAAAAAAGAGCATTACTACTTCTAGTGGAGGTAAAATACACAATAAAAAAAAAAAAAGAAATCAATATCCTTTTTACTTGGTGGCAATATTACAGTGCATTTTAAACATGGCACTTAAAAAATTCCTAGTCAAGTAAATTAATTTTAAAGGATATGAATTAAATACGTGGATAATAAATAAATGCAATTAGCTAATAATCTATAGCACTCAATAATCAATATGCAGCCTTTCTTCTCAGTAACAATAACAATTTGGTAAGTAGAAATTCCTTTAAAATCACCTGTAATTTGTATGAGAAGTAATCTAAAATATTTACAGCTGCAATATTTAGAAGACAAGTGATCAGTTTTCTAAAGTTATATTTTTTACAGTACCTGGAATTTCAGAAAAAAGAGAAACATTAGAAACATTCTCTAATTTGCAATCAAGATTAAACTCAGAAAGAACAGGAAAAAGGCTAGTGAGAGGAAGTTTGATGTTGAAGAATACAAAGAATTCCATTTGCTGGCTACCAGCTGCTTTGAAAGTGAACGTGAAAGTTGCTCAGTCATGTGACTCTTTGTAAACCCATGGACTATAGTCCATGGAATTCTCCAGGGCAGAATACTGGATTGCATAGCCTTTTCCTTCTCCAGGGGATCTTCCCAACCCAGGGATCGAACCCAGGTCTCCTGCAGTGCAGGTGGATTCTTTACCAGTTGAGCCAAGCTCAAGAATACTAGAGTGGGTAGCCTATCACTTCTCCCAGCGGATCTTCCCGACCTAGGAATTGAACCAGGGTCTCCTGCATTGCAGGCAGATTCTTTACCAGCTGAGCCACAAGGGAAGCCCAGGGGAAGCTGCTTTGGTCCCTACCAAATCTAGGCTTCAATCTAATCCTATTTGATTCTAAACTTCAACTGGAGTGTCTGAGAGCTGAAAAATCAACAATAATAATGCTAACTTTACAAATTTAATTTCAAATGGAAAATATAATGTATATGGGGTATATGGGGATTCTTTGTATTAGCTTTGCAATTTGCAACAGTAAATTTAAGACAGTTGTAAAATAAAGTTTATTGAAAATACATATTGTGAATAAAATCTTTTGAGAGATGAGGTCACATCCGAATAGAATATAAGAATTAAGCTTTTCTTATCATGTGTGTCCATTCTGCCTTACCTTTCTCTTTGAAAATTTTCTAGCCCAATAATGAGATACATGGTTGTTTCCCTGAATTTCCTATAATCCTGATGCCACTCCTGTAGGTGAAAGAACATTAAAAGTATATAAATATTAAAACTACAATGAAAACTACTTATAAATACATTTTACAATAACCACTTGAACTAACAGAAGCAGAGAGTTCAAAATTGAAGATAAACTAGACCTAAATCAAGGCTTTAATTTCTTACATACAAACCTGGCAGTATAAAAATAAACGTAAAAATTGTAGACACTGATGAGAGAAATTAAACAATCTCACTAGAAGACAGAAGACATAAAAGGCAAGATAATCAATAGGTAGGCCATTTGCCTCTCAAAAATTCTTCAGTGTAAAAGTTTATTAAGATATTATCAGAGAATATTTGGGGTGCATATATATTTTCAAATTTCTGTTTTCAATTTTTTCCAGATATATACTCAGGAGGGAATTGCTGGATTATTTTCAGTTTTTTGAGGAACCTCCATAGTATTACCCATGGGGAGAGGAAAAGGAGGAGGAGCACAGTACAAGTACAGAATTAGGAAACGTAAAGTATGTATAAAATAGATTAGCAACAAGGACATACTGCACAGCACAGGGACTTATAGCTATTATCTTGTAATACCTTTTAATAGAGTATTATCTGTAACCATACTGAACGACTATGCTGAACACCTGAAACTAATATAAAGCAACAACCCCACATTTAAAAAAATATTATTATAGAACCTAAATCACATTGAATGTGGAAGGTAAATGAAGCTAACTAATAGGAATCAAAGCTTGAAGACTGTTATTTGAAACAGTTTTAAGGACCTGAAAGAAAAATAAAAAATGTTGTAATAAATTTAACCTTTTAATTTTGCAATATTTGTGATAAATTTTACATGTGGATGCTTAGTAGTCTTTTCACCTGAGATAAAGTGAAAAAGATAGAAGCATTTCACAGCCCATCTCCAAAACACCCACAATTACTAAGCATGTCATATAACAAAATGATTCAGAACTCGCAATCCACAATTCTAGAAAACAATTTAAAAAAATCAAGATTTTTTTAACAAAAATTGATTCAAGGAAAATCATAACTAAAATTCAATATGTGAAAGCTTTTATACACATTTTATTGTAAATAAATGAAAGTAAGATACATATAGGCCAGTTACTAGCCAACTATTGATATATTCTCCTTGAATATAAATCATTTTAATTTAAAAAGCCAAAATTTTCATACTACTGAAAGTGAAAGTGTTAGTCACTCAGTCCTGTCTGACTCTTTGCAAACCCATGGACTGTAGCCCACCAGGCTCCTCCGTCCGTGGGATTCTCCAGGCAAGAATATTGGAGTGGGTTGCCATTCCCTTCTCCAGGGGATCTTCCTGATCCAGGGATCAAATCCAGACCTCCTGAATTGCAGGCAGATTTCTTTACCAACTAAGCCACAGGGATAGAAGACATTAATAACAAATAAAGGTAAAATTTATCTTTAAGCATAAAGTTAGCTTTTCTGGGGGAAGTATTCAAATTGCCACTCTGTTATCAATAGATTCACCTTAGAAGTTTTCAGTAGGTAAACTTCTGGTGGCTCAGAGGTTAAAGTGCCTACATGCAATGTGGGAGACCTGGGTTCGATCCCTGGGTTGGGAAGATCCCCTGGAGAAGGAAATGGCAACCCACTCCAGTATTCTTGCCTGGAGAATCCCATGGATGGAAGAACCTGGTAGGCTGGAGTCTACGGGGTTGCAAAGAGTCGGACACGACTGAGCGACTTAACTTAAACTTCTTTAAAGGGTTTGACAATAAATATTTTAGCTGTTGTAGTTACTCAACTCTGCAATTGTAGTGTAAAAGTGCCTGTATTCAATATCTAAACAAATGGCCTGTGTTCCAATAAAACTTTATTTATAAAAGCAGATGATGAGCTGGATTTGGTTTGCAGGCCAAGGATTAACTGATGTGTGATTCAGAGCAAGACAAAGATATGTGGGATATATGAAATCCAAAAACATGTCATGTAAATACCTATAAGATTTAATGGCTCTGCAATTAGAAAAAATATGAAAAACTTTCAGAATAAAAATATGCAGAATCCAATCTGATGAAGCAAACTGGTGGAGGGACTGCAGAAGCAAATAACAATTAAAATCAAGTTCCATGTAACTTGAATCTTGGAGACAAGGGCAGAATTAGAAACCAATTTACCTGTATCTCTGGCATGTATTATGTGTCCATTTTTTTTGTGGCTATGTTCCCAGATTTTCTATTTTGCCTTATAATTCAAATTTATCTGTTCTTATGATAATATTATTATAAACTATAAAAGTTAAGATATAGTTTATATTGATTTCAAGTGAAAATAGCCTTCCTACCTTGTTCTGTAAGAAAGCTGAGACTAGAATGTTTGCATTTCCATAAATTTTTTGAATGAGCTTATTAAGCTCCATAAAACAACTTGCTAGAAGTTTGCTAGAAACTGAACAGTTTCAATAAACCATTCTGTGGAAAATCGACATCTTTACAACACCAAGTTTTCCAAACACAATTCATATATCCATTTACTTAGATCTTCTTTATAACATCTCCTAAAATTATGCACATCTTTTATTAAATTTGCTTTCAGGTACACCATCATTTTGGATATTATCTAAAATGTGTCAAATTAAAGAATTTCTATCTGAATATTTGCTACTGCTATAAAGAAATAAAACACATATTTGACATAGATTTGTATTTTACACAGCTCTCTTATTATCTTTATCTCCAATAAATTTATCTGCAGCTTTTTCTTTTCATACATAAAACATCTGCAAATAATGAGAGCTTTGTTTCTTCTTCTGCAATCTTACTTTTTGCTTTATTTTTATTGCCTTACTGTACTGCTTAAACTCCAGTACAGTGTTGAATAGAACTGGCGTACAGCCCTGTCTTTTCTTGATCACAAAAGGAAAGTTTTCAATGTTCAGATTTCAGTATGATTTTTATGGTAGTTCTGTTAGTTTTTGATCTTCAAGACACTTTTCAGTAGACTAAAGTAGTTACCTTGTATTCCAGGTTAGCTAAGAGTTTTGGGCAAAAATGAATGTTTGTCTGTATCCTTCCTTTTATCTGTTAAATGTAGTGAATTATACTAATTGTTTAAGGGAATATAAAGTAATCAGGTTTGCAAACGTGACCAATCACTAGTGAAAGGCACTCATGAATGCAAATTAAAATTTATTCACATAAAAATTTTTGGAAAAACAATGCAGAAAGTTAAAGTTAAAAATCTGACAAAATACTAGGTGTTTGAATTGGTAACTTAATTTTAAAGCCAACGTTAACACAAAGAGAATTTTGTGGACAAAAACTACCACAAGCACAATACAAATGCTCACGTGTGCGCTCTCTCATACAACGCTGTCCAATAATGACAAATACATAAGGCATACAATGACTGAAACAAATTTTTAACTTCCCCTCAAAATATATATATGAAGTAAAGAAAATGTATAGCATGGCTTCACTGTAATACAGCATTTAAGAATGTAGGTTCTGCTAAATCAAGTTGTGACATGAAGCTATGATAACTTTAGGCAGGTTACTTCACCCCTTCATGATGAATTTTCTCATGTGATTATTAGCTATGCTGAAATGAAAGAATACTGAACCAAAGAATTCCTCAACCTACAGTTCAACCTCCCAAAAGGCACATTACCTCATACTCCTCCATGTTTACTTCTTCAGGTTTTATCATTTCAATTTTGGCTTGAGCAACTTTCATTATGTTGTGACACCTTCAAATAAAAAATATTTCTAAATCAAGAGCAAAATTCACAAAAACTTAAAAAATGTGTTTTATACAAAATTAAACTACCCGACACATATGAAAATGAAATCCACTATCACTGTGCAATATTTTTGAGGAAACAAATTACAAATAACTCAAATGAAAACTGTGGTTTTTTGGACAATACTGGATATTTACTAAGTATATGAAGAAGACAGAAGCAATGATTCTAATTCACCATGTTATATTTACATATGAATTTTAAATTATGTTCTATTAAACATGAAAAAAGAAAGTTTTAAAAAATTGATAATGTATCTCTATTAAGCAAGCTCCAGAGACATGAAATCTCACTTCTTCCAAATAATATTATTCATAAATAGTAAAAAGAGATCCAAAATGTGCCTATCCTTTCAGATAGGAATGGCAACATTTCAACAGATTTTATGATCAGAACCACTGCTAAAGAAATCTCCCCAAAGTATATTTATAGTTATCACATACAGTTTACTCCATATTTCAAGCACAAGAGAAATTAGATTTCTCAAACTATTTTTACTTGCCAAGGCTACTAACTGCAGAAGATTGAAAAGTCAAAGTGAATACTTCATAAATATCTTCCCCAAATTCAATAGCATATACTCATTGGAACACAGTACAGTAACCACCCAGATAAAAGAGGGTCATAATTTCTGAGTTCTTCAGTTATATTTAACAAAATAAGTGATGTCAACATTCATAGCCAATACTTACTGAGTATTTACCAGATAATGCTCAAAACCATTTACTTGTATTATTTCCCTTAATCCTAAATTTCACAGCAGACACATGATGAGGCAGAAATTAATCCTAGATGCTTTGTTTTCTGTCACACCCTTCTCTACTACACATATTTTAAATTCAGTATTTTTGAGACATTCATGAAAGGATAATCATTCACTTCAGAATTAAAATGTATTTACCATGAACTCCAAGAGAGTATAAATGTTTCTACATTTTAAAACTCTTCAATACTTTGGGTGTTTACCTGAGGGCTGAATTTTTTTTTTTTTAATAGTATTTATTCTAACTAAGTTTTAATTTTTAACATTAGTAAAGAGTTTTATAGGAACTTCTAAGAAAAAACTTTTTGGTAAACCAAAATTCATTGAACCATTCTAAGCCTTCTCTTTACATCAGAGAATGTATAATTACTTTGTGCATACTGATTAATTACTTTCCCCAACTGTTCTCAAACAAGGATGATTCTGCTCCCGGTGGCATATCCGGCAGTATCTGGAGACATTTTGGGTTGTCACCATTTGAGGGGTACCACTGGCTTTAATGGTCGAGGCCAGGAACATCACTAAATATCTTACAAATTATAGGACATCCCCTACCTCCTAAACAAAAAAAATCATCTGGCCAAAGTATCCATAGTGCAGAGGTTCAGAAATTCTTTATTTTTCTGAAATTTTTAGTCCCCAAAGGCCAGTGAAAATTATATTATACTCTTCTGTGTATCTTTCTATTGCTTATCTCAGTGCCTTGGTACACAATTAAAATGTAATAAAATGATCTAAATTATTTTGGGGTTAAAGTTTTAAAAGTCATGATTATAAATAAATAAATTACAAAGCAACTGAATTAAGTCAAATTAAGTGAAGTCAAACTTTGTGCTACATTACTGAAATATGTGAATGTGTAAAATACATATTCAAAAATTGAACTTGGAGCTATAAAAACAACACGGGCAATTTGAGCACGTGAATAAAATACTTAACATTTTGTATTTTCAAATTACCTTTCATCAAAACTCAAATTTCTATCTGCAAATTGTTCTAGCAATGTTTTCTCAATGATTTTCTTTGGAGCCTGATTCTGGATAAAGTAGACTATTACATGATGTAAACGATAGTCTGTTTCTGGTGGGGTATCTTCTTGGGCCAATTTAACCAACCTTGAATATTCCAACTTAATTGCCTAGAAAATACAACAAAATGCCAATCTTAGTTAATTATAATAATTCACATCCTTCAATATTATAATTATCCTTATATTCAAATATGCTTTTTTCCTTTTAAAATATTACCAAAAAAGGTAGTAGTATATCTAAGAACACTGTCCCATGTTCCATATTTTAAATATATCTAAGCTTACTATAAGTTATTTTGCAAAACTTTTCAGAGATTGGTCAAAGTCTATTCAGAGGAATCAGAAGACTGAGATACTAGGTATATCTCCTAATCTATGCTCCACTTGAAGTACACCTCTAATATCTAAAATTCTAGGGTTGAGCTGTAGGTCCCTAGAATATTCATATCTGAAAGAAAATGGCTGGCTCTTAAATGGATGATAATAATACCATCACAATTAACTTTAACTGTAGAGGTTACAAATAAGGGATAAAAAAGTAAGCTTTTTTTCCCACTACAAATTTTTGTTTCAAAAATATTTGAATTTTACCAGTGTAATGTTTATCAATGAACACTATCACTATTACTACCTTGATACTGAGCTTACCTTTTCTTTATTTGCAACTACTATTATGAGAAATAATAAATACTAATGTGTGTTCCCACACATAAACAAATGATTTGAAAAATATTTGCTCAGAGAAATACATATAGAGATATATATCAAGTACTGCCATATGTAAGAAGCCCATATAATTAAAGATAACTTTAATTAAAATATTCATTTATATTAGATATCATATCTAAATTATTTTCTACTAACCATAAGACATTTGGAGCTACATGCAATATATGTTACAAAAAGTCCATTCTATTGGAAAGGGTTTTTTTGCATGCGTTTCCTAAGCAATTCTTGGCCATCCAGATACTATCACCTATTTGGCTGTATTTTACAGAAGTGAGAAAATGTACCTGAAAAACAGTAAATGGAACATTCTAGTTATACGTTTTTAAACCTCATTAAGGGGCAGCTAATAAGTCCTTTCTATACATATTAGCATTATAAATAGAATGAGATAATTACTCTATAGCTAAAATAAATTATTCCAACTTAATTTTAGACATACATATGCCGTTCTAAAGTTTTATTGCTGTGCTAAAAAGCCACCATGAAAATTAACTATATTTGTCATGTAAGGCTATCATGACTCACTTTACTGCATGCTTTGCTTACAAACTCTTTAATCTTTCCAATTTGAAATTAAAAAATTTTCCAATTTGAAAAAAAAGGCACATGGTCATTTAATAACTACACTATACTGAATTTGAGAGTAAGCGTAGGGGGAGGAGCCAAGATGGCGGAGGAATAGGACGGAGAGACCACTTTCTCTCCTACAAACTCATCGAAAGAACATTTGAACGCTGAGCAAATTTCACAAAAGAACTTCTGATTGCTAGCAGAGGACATCAGGCCCCCAGAAAAGCAGCCCATTGTCTTCGAAGGGAGGTAGGACAAAATATAAACGATAAAAAGGGAGTCAAAAGAGCTATGGACGGAGACCCGTCCCGGGAAGGGAGTCTTAATAGAGGAAGTTTCCAGTCACCAGGAAACCCTCGCACTGGCGGGACTAGGGGAAGTTTTCGGCAATCTAACTGGGAGGAAAAATTAAACAAGGCCCACAGATTACGTGCCTAAAAGCAACTCCCAGCAGAAAAGTACCCCAGATGCCCGTACCCGCCAGCAACAAGCGGGGCGGAACGGAGAGGAGCGGGCGGCATTGCTTAGGGT